CTTGAATATTTATAAAATATTTTTAGAATTTTCTTTAAAACAGTATCTTATTTTTTTATCTACATCTAGATACAGGACTAGTTATTTGGGACACAAGGATGTGAACTAGACTTTTACAGTGAATTAGTTTGTGAATTTTAATATATGAGATATATTACTATACAAAATAAACATTTAAAATTCATAACTTTGAGACGAGTGCAGAGTGCCAAGTGTTTATTTTCTTTTTGTTGTTTTTTTGTTTTCATCTGTTTTATCAGAGGTCTAAAACATTGGAGACAATACGTGACAGTTACACCCTAATGGGGTGTGGGAAGAGAACCACCTGTCATGAATTCTTTTAATTACATTCTCTTCCTCTTCCTCGTAATTACAGATGATTTATAGTGAATCTCTGGTCGCTGATATTAATGCAAGTGTATCATACCCTTAGGTAAAAAACAATTGTAATTGATAGGCTCAGAAACATTTTTAGAATAAAATACAAATCACTTCCTAAAGAGAAATCAGTCTCAGTCGCGGTTCCATAAATTGTATGTTTTGGAGATCACTGCTTTGCTTTGTATTGAACTCTATCCATGGCCAACATGAGTGTTAGAATCTGTTTCTCCTGTGAGTAATTTAATACCTAATATCATTCAGTTTGTTGTAATTAAATATGTACATGAATAAATTCAAAAGTATTCAGTGCAGCGCAAACCAAGTAGCTATACTGTACACATTGAGCAAATTTTCAATATCTTCAGGGTTCAGAACCATGTCTTATATTTAAAGCACATAATTTTCTAGATGAGTATCAGATTTTTCATTGATATATGGGTAATCATAATTGATCAATTCTCTTCACAGAGTGGTTGGGAGAAACATAAGATTAAGTTTTGAGCTACCCGATGTGAAGGTGCTCAACCAGGACAAGGAGTCAAACTGAACATAACAACTAAGCCTTTATTCTTTACCACAGTGGTAAGAGCAGAAGGCTAAAGAGAGTTAGGAATGTTCCATTTCTACCCATTGACTGGTATTAAGATATTGTCAGTGCAATGACAGGCAGCGCAAGTAGAGATAATCTTCTCACAGCTAAGGAGCCTTGAATAGAAGGCTCCTGCCATCTTATGAACCTGGGGGTGAGGGGAAGGGAGAGGAGACGGGCTGGGGGTGGAAAGTACTGAGTCAGAGTGGAGAAGTGTCTTAGTCAAGGCTCCCCACCCCAAAAGAAGGTCATAGCAAGAGCTCCTGAAAAGTGCTCCAGCCTGAGGTCCATCCCTTCCACCAGGAGGCCCACCCAGGCTAGGAATAGAGACATGCCTATGAACGTGGCTGGCCAGGGAGGGGGGGACTTGGGGGAGGCGAGTGGGGCTGGGTCCTTGTCTGCACCTCCCTCCAAAAACTGTAATGCCCTGGGTGTTCACAAAGTCTGGATGCGAGGGCTATTTTCCACTTTGAGACCTCCCAGGCAAAGCTCTGACGGCCTATGGTCAGGCTTGAAAGATCACACGTTCTAAAACTTCTAGCATTGTTTATATATGTCATACACATTATTAATGCAATTAAAAACCTGAATGTACAACCAATATTTCCTTATACAGAGAAAATAATTCTATAAAATATTTAAATTTACAAAAAGTGTCATTATTTTCCCTTTGTTTTAACCTCCTTGTATAGGTGACTCTTGGGGAGATTTTAATATTAAACAGGATGAAAATTGTTAATATGGTAACAATGTAAAATAGTTTGGGAAATAATAATAATTATACTGATTAAAATGCAGAGGAAACTTCTCTTTGTTGGGGACAAGTGGGTATTGGTAGGTGAAAATATGATTTGCATCCAAATATGCTTAGAAATTTCAAGTGACTCCATGAGCAAGTTGTAAATAATGACAGTGCATGGATATATTAAGATTTTAATCATTTCTGATAGAATTTGGTCTTGATTGATTTCATCTTCACTGTTTTATGGATGTCTGAGTCTAGTTGGAAACAGTCTTTAGGCTGCTCATCTGGCAGCAGGTGCACTATTTGCATAAGTAGAGTCTTACATGTGGGCTTGTGTTTTTGGAAGCCTCTAGATTTATGACACCAAATTATGTTTTATGCAGACGGAAGAAAATCTGATGACGTAATGGATGTTAGTATAAAGAAGAGTTAATTTAGTTCCCTTTAAAAATAGTAAATATTCTTACAGTAGCTCTGGTATAATTTTGGGTATATGAATTGCTTGCTTCATTCATGGATGTATAATTCTTATGTAGAAAATTTTAAAAGTAAATAAATGGCTTTGATGTTTAAAAATCATCTGCTTCTTTATTTTATTCAATTTGAGTCATATGTTTGAACTCTTTAGCAACTCTGTATTAGGTTTCACTAAGATTATGGATGTTATATGCCAACTCCATAATTATATATTAATTTAAATAATTTAAAGTAAGCATAATGACATACTTAATAATTTTTTTAGCATATATAATGTATTATGTATTTTTTTGGTATGAAAATACTTTAGGGGAAAAAAGTTGAAAAACAAGTTTCTTGTTTAAAATATGATACTGACCCATTTAGCTCCTGAATATTCATCTCTTTTAATTCTGATGTAAGAGACGTAGCATAGCGAAATGAGCGTTAGCTCTGACTCAGTTATTCTTGGATTCAAATCTGTGCTCTATACTAATTGTATGGCTAAACAGAAACTAATGAGTTGTTGCCTCGGTGGCATTTAAAAGATTATTAAAACCACCACACATTAATATTGAAATATTTTAAATCATATTTATGTATACATATGATATATGTGCATATATCTGTATAATATTGCATATATGTGAATATATATCTCAGATACTGAATACATAAATAAAATTACCTATCCTTCTTCAAGTAATTTATAGTCTAGTGATGGAGACAGACATAAATAAGTAGGTAGAAATGTAGGGTGTTATGGAAACATGTGACAACTTAAGGATAAAATGAAAAATAGAAACTCTGGGAAAAGGGAATATGATCCATTCATGTAGGAAACATAAAGAAAGACACAGAAGAATGAAACAAGATTGTATAAATGGGGAAGCAGTTTTTTCTTTATTGTTGATGGTTAAGCAAGAAGGAAACAGAGAAGATGAGGGTGTGGATGGGAGGCAGATTTTGTGTGTCATGGAAGGGAGTTTAGACTTTATCTGGTGGGACAATGATTATATTAATCAAAGAAGTAAATTTCTCTCAAAAAGATCCTTCTGGTAGTCATGTGGATAATGGATTTGATGAGTTAACTTTGGCAGTAGGAAGATGAATTAGATGATTATTGCCATTTTTAGAAGAGAGATGATGGCATTCTGAGCAAAGTGTTTAACGTGGATAGAAAAAATAGGAAAGCATAACAAGTATTTATAACTCATCTTAAAATTGTTTTAAAAGCATCTCTCAGTACAGTTTAAAATCTCACATTCTTATAATTTTTTTGACATTTCAAAATAGATATGACCAAACAAAGCAATGTTAATTTTAGTAGAAGAATTACATGTGAATATATAGATAGAGAGATACGATGCGCACACACATGCAATGTTCATTTGTACACGTGTGTGTCAGTTTCAGTCTGGAGTAGCTTGAGTGTGCATGCTAGAACACAATAAAACTCACTTTCACAGTTGAGCCTGAAAAGTAGAAAAATAAGAACATGGGGAAAGTTATTCAGATGTTTGAGGTTAAAGAGACAAAATATTTGGACCAGCCAGTGGCTGAGTGGTTAAGTTCCCACACTCCACTCCAGCAGCCCGGGGTTTTGCTGGTTCAGATCCTGGGTGCGGACTTGGCACCATTCGTCAGGCCATGCTGAGGCGGCCTCCCACATGCCACAACTAGAAGGACCTGCAGCTAGAATTATCTGACTGTGTACTGAGGGACTTTGGAGAGAGGAAGAAGAAGAAAAAGAAGATTGGCAGCAGATGTTAGCTCAGGTGCCAATCTTTTAAAAACAAAGAGAAATGTTTTTTCAAAGTTATTGTTAAACCATAAATATAGTTACATGTTTTATTTTATGTTTTGAAAAGTTCCAAGGCATTTTTAATTATTTCTAAATTGCATAAGCTGCTTTCAGGGGAAAACAGAGTGCCACTGTTACATGAGAGAGAAAGTGCGTCAAGGTTTGATCTTGGTGTAGGAAGCAAAGGTTTAGCTCCAGGTGAAAAACTCATACAGTTTACTGTAATTTCAGAGATGTTTGAACAATAAGTATAATTTATGAGCCATCACTATCCCTGTAAAAGCATGTTTTCATGACTTCTGTAACCATCTAAAACATTTTTTAATTCCATGGTGTCTGTGCAAACGAAGTTTAGTAATTCTGAGGAGTAAAAAAGTTTCCACGTTTTAGTGAAGAAAGAGTCCTTATGTCGTTTGATTGGCAGAAAATGCAGCAGAGACATCTATGATTTCTGATAGAGAGCTAAGCCAAATCTACATTTTTATTTATCCAATAATTTATTATGAGGTAATAAACACACACAAGAAAGGGAATGTTGAAATAAGCATCCGTGACTCCATTCCTTAGGTATAGCCAATTTCACTACTACATCGTACTTGTTTCAGATATTTGAATCATTACAAACACATACAGACAAGGTGGAAGCACTCTGTTCCCGTTTACTATTTCTTTGCTTCTATTTTCTTGAGACTCATTTTGTTATTACTTTTTCTTCCACTTCGTGATTTGAAAACAATATATATTTGCAAACTTCTTTTTCTGTTTCATACTTTCACTCAAAGCTACAAGATTTCACCTGAGTCCTCTCTCAGTCAGATATTAGAGACCTTGACACAGCTTTTCTGCTGTTACTAACACCTTTCAAATTTCATTTAATACCTATGTAGACTATAATAATGGAGCTGTATATTTATAATATCCAGTGGACATTTGTGATATCTTTTTATCAAAAATTCTATTGATATATAGTACACTTAGAGAAAATTTTAAAAAACATAATTGTGCATCTCAATTAATTTTTACAGAGTGAATAAACCTGTAGAACCAGCACACAGATAAAGAGGAAGACGTGACACATGATCATTGCCCTGGAAGACCCTTTGTGCCCTGACTCTGGCCGGTATTCCCTCCTGTGACAACTACTATCCTGACTCCTAATAATTTTAATTGTTTGATTTTTGACAAGTGGAACCATATAATCTATTCTCTTTTATGACTGGCTTCTTGCTTGTAATGCTATGTTTTTGATACCTATCCACTTTGTTGTGTGTAGATATAATTTGCTCATTTTAATTGCTATACATTATTAAATTGTATGAATATACCTCAGTTACGTTTATCTAAATAATGTCAAGGACATTTGATTTTATTTTTACACTTTTTGGCTGTTAGAAGCAGTGCTACTATGAATATCTGCCCCAGGTGTTTTGGTGCACATGTGTATATATGTCCACCTTGAAATAGAAATACTGTACCGTTGGGTCTGCAGATGTTGCTTTCTGGCAAACCACTGCTAAATGTTTTTCTAAAGGATATATGTCAATTTACCCTCCCATCAGCTGTGTACAAGAATTCCATTTTTACTATATTCTCATCAATACATGGTATTGTCTGTATTTTTCATTTTAACCACTGTAATGGGCTGTAATGATGATGAATTGAGGTTTTAATTTGTATTGTCATGATACTTAATGAATTTGAACATATCTGCAAACCTATACCTGCCATTTGGGGATGCTGCATCAAGAAAAGTCTACTCACTTCTTACTTATTTTTCCATTGTTTTCTACCTTGTTCTTGTGCATTTGTGTATATGTGTATACAGAATATATTGTGTATACAGAATATATATCCTGTAAGTCTTTTGTTCGATGTATATGTATTTACAATATTGTGTCTCACTGTGTAGTTTGCCTTTTCATTCTATTATAGTTTCTTTTTGATTAATGAAATCAATTTTATCGATATATTTTCCTTTATGATTAGCACTTTGTGTGTCCTGTTGAAAAAAAACTTTGCTTACAAGTTCATGAAAATATTTTCTTATAATATCTTTTCAGTAATTTGCTAGCTTTCATATTTCGATTATAATTCATCAAGAATTAATATTTGTGTATATGTCAGGTTGAATGATATTTAACTTTTCTGTGTGCAAAATTAGTTGACCCCACAGAGTTTCCTGAAGAGACCATCTTTTCCCCACTACAGTGAAGTGTTATCAGGTAACTATATTTGTAGGCTGGTTTTGAGACTGCTGTTCTGTTCCAGTCTGCTGCCCTAGCACCTATGTTGCCTGTTTTTGATTTTTTTTTAAGTAACTCTTCATATCTGTTAAGTGAAATAATGCATGTTTGTGCTCTTTCCAGATTGTTTTTGCCATTATTGGCATTTTGAGTTTTCATATAAAGTTTTACGTTAGCTATTTAATTATGAGAGAGAGAGATCTGTTAGTATTTTTACAGAGAATGCATTAACAGTATTTTTTTTTTTTGAGGAAGGTTAGCCCTGAGCTAACTGCTGCCAATCATCCTCTTTTTGCTGAGGAAGAGTGGCCCTGAGCTAACATCCATGCCCATCTTCCTCCACTTTATATGTGGGACACCCAGCACAGCATGGCTTGCCAAGCAGTGCCATGTCCGCACCCGGGGATCAAACCGGCGAACCCCGGGCTGCCGAGAAGGGGAACGTGTGAACTTAACCGCTGCGCCACCGGGCCGGCCCCACATTAATGGTATTGAATCCTTAAAATATGAAATCTTCCAAACCAAGAATCATATATCCCTTCACTTATTTAGTTTTCTGTTAACTTTTCTCAAGTATGTTTTGTAGTTTCAGTGAAATTGGTTCACACATTCTCCTTAGTTTTATCCTGGGTATAGTCCAGTTTAATCTTACATAAGAATATTGATTAGAATGAACTAATACCAGTTCTTAGGATATTGTGGAATGAATTCTGTTGTCTTGCTTTCCCAGAGCAGTGCTTTATAAAATAGTACTTCAATAAGCTGATTGCCAGTGGGCACGAGAGCTTTCCTTTATTTCATCCTTAAATGTCATCTAATATTTCTGCCTTCTATGCTATTTTTTGATACAAGGGGCTTATATTATTTTGTTGTGATTTTCACTCATTTCTTTCCCAGTGACTACTGAAATAACTTTGAATTTGGAAAATTTTATTAAATGAAGTTTGGCAACATGAGTCAGAAAATATTTATGTAAAAGTTTTCAAATCCATTTTATTTGTTAATACTTTAAAACAATAACATGCTAATTCATCCTTAGTACAGATCACAAAGGAGACATAATTTATTTATATTCAATTAATTTTATTATTTTATGGAAACATCTTTTATTTGAAATTACGTATTTACATAGGTATGCATCTATGTAAATGATTACAAGAAATTAAAAACTGTTATTTCTAGTTTTCTTTACTCTAAGTGTCAACCCTACAAAGGATTGAGACTCAGTGCTAAGAAAAATTTGTCTCCCTGCATATTTATGTGCTGAATTGCATCCCCCCAAATTCATATCTTGAAGTCCTAACTTCTAGTAAATCAGAATGTAGCTGCCTTTAGGGATAGAGCAGCTAAAGAGGTGATTAAGGTACAATGAAGTCATATAGGTGGGTTCTTAGCAATGTGATCGCTGTCCTTATGAGAAGTGGAGATTACGACACAGACGCACTCAGGGAAGATGGAAGACAGAGCAGAAGATGGTCATCTGCAGACTAAGGAGGAGTCCTCAAAAGGAACCAGCTCTGCCGGCACCTTCACCTCAGACTTCTCGTCTCCAGAACTGAGAGAAAATAAAATTCTGTTGTTAAGCCACCTACTCCGTGGACCTTTGTTATGGCAGCCCTACCAAACTAATGCAGAGAAAATATATCAAATCGTAGACAGATTATTTCCTTTTAATCTAAACCACAAGTGCAGTAATGCCTTTTACATTTTTAAGCTGAATAATTGAGGAAGACTTTAAAATATGTTTTTATACACACTTGTCCCTTGGAGTCTGGCCAAATATGTCATATTTTAGATAAACTCGCTATATATCTACTTATCTACTCCGGTGCATGTGTGTGTGTGTGTCTGTCTGTCTCATCATCTCTCTCTCTGTCTCGCTTCTCTCTCTTTGCTAGAAAATCTAAACACAGATTTTCATAACTCCCTGCAATGAATTCTGAACAATTCATTCACCCTCTCTAACTTTCTGTTTTTTTTAACCTTTGGACAGGAAGAGTAACACTCACCCTTCCTCGGTACATATGAAAGCTCTACAGCCATAGACTCGTAAATAAAGTAGCTAGCTTTCAACTGAATAAGCAAGTTGGAAAAAAAATCATTCTGAATTCATTAGCAGAGCCTAAAATTAAGCATCAAAGATATGTTTGATCCTATGAGTGTATGTGAGTGTAGCTACCTTCAAAATTCCATGACCGTTTAGAATACAGGATTGATTTACATTCTGTGTGCTTCTTATGTGGTTCGAATTTGAGTCCCGAGTCTCTGTGTGTCTGTCACGGTGTTTCTTCGCCCTGACAGCGCTTCAGAGTTGCCTGAGAAGCTTGTTCTCCTGTAGCATGCCTGGTCCTCAAGGCAAATCTTCAAGACACTGAGGCATAATTCTCAACGATTATGATTTAATAGGAGCCTAGTGGGTCCCAGCCAGCTGTATTTTTAACAACCTGGACAGACAATTTGGAGTCCCAGGTTGAGAATTATCACTTGAAGCAAATTACCTCATCTTAATAAGCCCCTCCTCCTTGTTGTCATATACAACATATTATTATTGACTGTCACCGAACATTTTCTTGTTATTTTTTAATTAAAAAAATTTTAAGATATAATTGACGTATTGTGTAAGTTTAAGGTATGCGGTGTGTTGATGTGGTACATTTTTATATTGCAGTGTGACAAGTACAGTAGCGTTAGCTAACACCAATATCATGCCACGTTATTATTTCATCTTGTGGTGAGCACATTTAAGACCTAGTCTCTTAGTAACTTTGAAATGTATTCTGTAGTGCTGTTGACTGTGATCACAGTGCCGTGCATTAGCTCTCCAGAACTTACTCATCTTATAACTGCAAGTTTGTGCCCTTTGACCAGCATCTCCCCAATTTCCCACTCCATCCCCCCACCAGCCCTGGGAACCACCATTCTAGGCTCTGTTTCTCTGAGTTTGACGCTTTTAGGTTCCACATATAAGCAATATCATACAGTATTTGTGTTTCTCTGTTTGATTTTTCTCATTTAGCATAATGTCCTCAAAGTCCATCCATGTTGTCACAAATGGTAGGATTTCCTTTCTCATTTTCTTTCTAACTTCTAAGGGGTCTCTGGCTTGGAAGTATTATGATAAAACTGTGAAATGATTTGAGAATATTAAGAAAATAAAATATTATTTTTCAGAATTTTGTGTTACGTGTTATATAACATTGATTACTTAACTTTCAAAACTAGAATATTTTTTTAAAGTTTCAGTTAAATCAACAATTAGTTTTGGTAGACGTTTTTGTTATTCTGAGTAATTTTGGAGGCTCTGTGTGTTCCAGGAATCAGAAAATATTTAGAAATGTTCTTTTTTTTTTTTTTTTTTTTTTTTTTTTTTTTTTTTTTTTTTTAAAGATTTTATTTTTTCCTTTTTCTCCCCAAAGCCCCCTGGTACATAGTTGTATATTCTTCGTTGTGGGTCCTTCTAGTTGTGGCATGTGGGACGCTGCCTCAGCGTGGTTTGATGAGCAGTGCCATGTCCGCACCCAGGATTCGAACCAACGAAACACTGGGCCACCTGCAGCAGAGCGCGCGAACTTAACCACTCGGCCACGGGGCCAGCCCCTAGAAATGTTCTTTTTAATACTTAATCCTTCATTACAACATAAGTGGCGAGGTGGGAAATTGTAGGGGAGATTATGGATATGGGCAGATAGGTTTTCATTACATGCAGTAATAAACCTCATATTTATACAACTAGTGATAGCAACTCAGTCTCTCCAGAAATTGCTAGGCTAACTGTCTGTAAGGGAATAATTTTTCACCAAATATAGTGCCAAAATAAGGGTTAATAATAACTTACTGATACGTGAGAAAATTTGATGTGAGATTAATAACGGGGAAAACTATGACATGAAACCAAATTATTTTCACTGTATGCATGCATTTACTTTTACATTTAGCATTTATTTTTAAATTCATGGTTCTTAGAGATTCAAATTCATTAAAATTACTTAAAGCAATCCATGCAACATTTATGACATAAAATATTATATTTTAAATATTATTAGGATGCTATATATATCCTATACTTTATATTTGGAAAGGATTTTAACATTTTAAATTTAAATTGTGAAAATTAAAAGGATATTTACCATCGTGCATTTGAAATTATTTGACTCTAAGTCTAGCCCCACAAACTTTTCTACAAACAAAATTTCTATTAACAGCAAATGTCTCATTTTTAGAGATTGCAACATTCATTTAAGATTTTATACTTTTTACACAGATATTTTGAAGCAATTTTTTTTCTTCTAGCCTCAAATTTTACCCCCAAAGGTGTAAAACTGGTATAACTTATAACTGACATATTTTTACATCTTGTCACATACACACAAATGTTCCAAAAAACTA